ACAATAATGCGCCACTTGGTGAGAGTAGAAGCTAGAAATTCTGACCATCACAAATGGATCAAGCATGTCTTATTCCAAATCCAAATGGGCCAGCTAGAAGAATCAAGTGTTGGGATGTGACCCTCCTATTCTACCGAAAGCGCGCCAGGGCGCGCCTCTTTTTTCAAGGCCGCGCCCCCATCCTGTCGGGTCAGGGCCGGCATAAAGAGCACACCGGATCGGGGTAGGTCGGGGCTTCCATCAAATAATTCAGTTTGATCGAAAGAAATTTGTAAAACAACCCCGCCAAAATGATGAATTCTAAATTGGTACCCATCTTCTTATCTACTTTTACTGGTAAGTTTTTCATTTTCAAAACTTCGAATGTTATCTTTTGTCTGAACCAAGCGATACACCTTTCGTCCATTCACCCTTGATGTTTTTCGAGATAGGCGTCATTTCAGGAATAGTACGTTAAAAAGAAACTCTTTCTACATACTGTTTTCTGGAAATTATGTCTTTAATTGAGATTTGAAAATTCGAACGCTCGCAGTATATCTTTCAGCCTCCACTTTTACAATACAACAAATCTATCAATGAGAACAATGAAGCCCAAGCAATGAAGCAAAATCAAGAGAAGTCAAACTCGATATCTAAAGATGATTCTGATCAAATTGAAAAGAAATTATAACGTTCGATAGGCATTTTCAGATCATATCAAAGATCGATTGAGTTTTATCACACTTTTTATATCACTAGATTCCTTGACCAAATCAAACGTGGCTGTACATTATGTAAAATTAATTACTTGCTTAAGAAAACAAGCCTCATTGTCGAATGATAGCAAACTGCAAATGAAAGAAGTCACGAACCCGCGACCGTCCCGCTTTCTGACTGCTGCCAAGAAAACAGAATCGTCCCGTACCTTAGGTTGTGTCAGTGTTTATGACATAGGCTTGTAGTTTACTGCTCTGATAAATTCGACCCTACACTTTGGTAACAGTCTGCCTTGGCATGGATGTCGAGAGATCCGCGATGCAAAAAAGCCACCCTCGCTCTCATCTAATACCACGCTGGTTAAATGCTGTTTTCCATCAACGCTTTCATCTTCAAAGGGCCTCAACGGGAAGGATAAGGGTCTCGAGGCGCGGTGAATGATGTGGCCCTTTCCAATGACAAAGCACATTCGGGTATGATATTACATATTTCCTGGAAACCATCCCCGTAAGGGACTAGGGCACAATCCCAGCCAATCTCATAAACCCTTCAATATCACATGGCAAGATACTATATAGCTCGGGCAATCATCTCGCGTTTCGTTGCGACTCGACTCTTCACAAACCTTTTTCCAAACCAGTTTTTCATAACCCACATTTGCATTCATCCTATCTCATCCTTAGTTATCAATTGTTGCACATAGTTGACCCCAAGATCTATAATCGTTTTAACAATTCCAATAAAAGGAACCATGAATTACTCCGTACGATCAATCATCGTCTTGGCTTTGGCTTTTTGTGTCTGCGCTATCAATGCCCAGACCCAGACTGAAACTACTGTTGACCTGTAAGCTATCAAATCATGTTCTCAGATCCCTTTCATTCTTACTTACATGAATTTATCTTTGACACCCACTTAGTAAAAAAGCTCCCAAAGATGACAGAGCTGCTCTAGCTCTCAAGAACGCAGCCGCAGCGTGAGTCAAAAGTTTCTACTTTGATTTCCTTCATTGTGATACACGCGTCAATGATGTTCTCAAACAGATCTCTGATAAAAACTGAATTGACATGATAGAATGCAAGCTGGTGGCCATGGACTTCCTGGTTTGTAAGACGTCCAAGGGGCCGGAAACGGTGTCGGTGGTGGAATCGCTGAAAGAAGCGAACTCGACCTCATTTCAAAACTGTCTGCAACCTGAAGACTAGTGCATTATTATCATTTTTTCTTAGGTTGTAATTCCTCTATTGTTGCTATGGAAGTACAAAGATCATATTGTAAATATAGACCAGAAGACTTTGCGTTCAAAATTTACTTGTAAGATTGAGAAATCTATCAAATCACATTTTGGCAATCATAGTGCATTTCGTCCTCGAATCCTTCCTGACCAATCAGATTCTCATTGGTTCAAAAAATTCATGAAAGATTTATATTGATCCAAAAAATTCATGGAATTGAGTTGATTTATGTTACAAGAAACACCTTAGAACCCAATCCACTGCTCAGTTTGTTTGTCTTTGACTGAGACCAAAATAAAAACTAGAGGAATCGCGTTCGAATACCAGTGCAGCTGGACCTGTGAGAGAGAGCACTTGAGGTATAAGTCACACTGGCCATAAATTGTTCAATGTTCACCCAGACATCACATTGAACAAGTTCTATTGGTATACTACTAGCTAAGTATTTGTCTGTTTTGCCCATGGAGTACGTGTTTAGGGGTGCAGGCTGTGCGTTCAACTGCACCAACATTCGACTGACAATGCTCTCAGAGACTGAGACCTGAAAGAGTACCTCAAACCAGCAGACATTCCTTGTCCAGATGATTCCCTAATTCCCAATTCAAATTTCTCTAATCAATAAACTGTACAACTCAAAACTGAGTTTGATTCATCCAATTCTATTATCCTAAAATTCTTCTTAAACATTGGTTTTTACTCCAAAACATCATCAGCCTCCCGCCCACCCAGGCTATTGTGTGAAGTTAAAATCAAAAGAACAAAAGAGTTCTTTTCATTATCATACTCTTTTAAACTCTCAATTTTTTTGTTCAGTAAAATTACATATATTATACATTATCTCCAAGTGAGATTGTGAATATGATCAAAATTGTAATTTTTCATGAGAAGACATATCACATCACACCTGAGCCATAGCACCCACATTACATATGTGCAGCAGGATGAGAAAATTGGGAGCTATCATGTACATACAGAGCCACTCAGCTATTGGCTCATCTGAATGAGTATAACACATGTAATACCTTTTGTCATTTTTTTCAGCTTGACCAAAGCATTCCAAAAACTGACTACATACACTGACTCATAGTTTTGGTGTAATTCCATTAACTAAACTTCATGTAACACCCTTTCTGTTACTGTTGAATGGCTTTCCAAGTATTGCCTGAGTAGCTATGGAGGTATATGTAGTCAACTTTTGAGACAATTTTGTCAAACTGGAAAATGTTACATGATGCATCACATGTGATTTACTTATGCAGATGAGTAGGGGACTGAGCAGACCTGTATGTACATGATAGCTAACAATTTAATCAGCTTGTTGCACATATGTAGTGTGGGTGTTATGGCTCAGCTGTGCAGTGATAGATGTTTTTGTGACAAACTACAATAATGATCATTTTCCCATTCCCACTTGGGATAATGTATAATGTTTACTGTGATAGTTGTTATATTGAGTTACAAAAATCTGATACATAATGTCATGAACAGCAAGAGAATGGAAACAAGTGATGCCTTAAGATGATTCTGGGTAAATTTTCTGGAAAGCGGAGGAAGGTTTGCAAAGGGTTCTGAACCAAAGGAAAAAGAACTTACAAGAGTGCTACCAGCAAGAAATCCAGGGTGGGAAGGGAGGGCTATAAATGACTTGCTGAACTTGACAATGACAATGATGATGATGAAATGGAAATCTAGACGGAATTGGTAACAAGAGGATCAATGTTAATTTATAAGTGTAGACAGGATGATGTCTTCTTACCAAGTGATAGTATAAAAATAATAACCCAACCTCAATAATCAAATTATTTATACTCAAAGTACTAATTCCCAATATCCCAATCAGTAAATAACAATTTAATTACATCTATTCATGCAAGTTGCAGAGGATGGAAAACAGACTGGTGTGGGTCAGTTTCAAAACAGCTCCACAATCACAAAACTGGGAACTTTCCTGTAGTGTTTTTAGGCTAGCCACTAGATGTGAATGCAAAGAGGTGACACCACAGGTGTGGAGCTGCACTGACTCACGACTGACCCCCTGCTTTTGTGGGGTCAGAACTACTAGCAAAGGTGAACTTTTCACCAGGGTGTGGGTTTTTGGTTGGACACTCAGATCCCTCCACCTGCCTTCCTTGCAGACTATCAACTCTCCTTGTTTAGTCCAAGAGGGTGGTGCGTGGTTTTGGGAGGGCTCAGGCCTCTCTCAGGGATCAGCTAGACTCAAGGATCTCCATATCATTTCTGTATTCTAGCTGAAAGATAAGAGGACCTAAGAGGGGGATGCTCAGAAAATGATGAGGCTATGAGATTTCATACCCCAGGAAGGTGGGTGGGTGCAAAAAGCTATCAATGTCAAAGGGTGAGAGATCAATCAGAGAGCAGTGGAGTAGCAATGAGAAGCTTTCAGATTCCCCTGTATTGTAGAATCTGAGCTTCTCTTTGCCTGAGTACATGAGGCTTATGCCCTTATGGCTGACCTGTCTACTCCTATGCTCCCTCTCTCTCTACCTCATAGACACAATTCCAATTGTGTGCCTTGTTGAATCAGGCTTGTATACTGAGGCCTTGCCACAGCTTTGTCAGGGATTTGACTCTCCTGCCACACAAGGCCAACAACATTAGACCCCTTTATCAGGAAGTGTCTTCGAGTGCAATGGCGTTGAGTCAAAGATAAAAAATTTTAATAGTTGCTGGAATGGAATTTCAATCAATGTAGGGGGGGTTTTGGACATGGAAACCACCCTCAGAACTTCTGTTTTTTTAAGTTCATCTGCTTTCCATTCTTATGTCTATTTTTTTCTCAAGCTTGATATGATGCTAATGAATCTTGCCTGTGTGGCCACTAAGCGTGAACCCAGATACCTTGCATGATACCTTGCATCTAGAGCCAAGATTGAAGACGCCCATTCCCCAGTTACCAACAAGATATTTAATTATCTCATGATCTGTGCTTGGAAAGTGTTTGGGTGATTTTCAAACCATATGTGATACAACATGAGATGGAAAAAAGAGGTGTAGAAATCTATGAATGTACAATTTTTGGAATTTCAGATGTGGATACTGCTTTTTTACTCAAGGTCCCACACCTGTGGCCTTTGGCATGGTGCAGTTTGAACATGCTGCTTAGGGAAATCCAAATTCAAACAAGGTAGATGGTTAATACATGATAAGGCAATGAGAAAAACAAGAGACATGACTGACTGATGAAGGGAACATTATCAATTTTATAAGGGCAAGAATACCATTCACCCCCTGGGTTTGTGCATCCTGTAAGATGGTTTTTTTACATTTGAGAAGGATTGAACTTCAATCAAAGTGATTTCTGAGAAAGATCACCAAGTTAGATTGAAGACTGACCGTAATCATTCACTTTTTCAAAATGATAACTTGAACACTGTTGATTGCTTATTCCAGATCCAATCACTCCATTGTGGAGACAACCAACCATTTGTACCCAAAGATGACCTATAGATATGATGTTGACATGATACAATTTCAAAGAAAGGTTAACAAACTCGAGTTAGGAAAAAGATTATAATCAAAACAAAAAGATCACAACTTACCATTGTTTCCACACTGGGATGTTGGGCAAATATATTCTGAAAGGTCCTTATCATCGCACCTTGCTTCAGTCATATTTGTAGTAAATCCACCTTTACATTGAATTGTTGGGTTGTTTTGTGCTAAAGCAATTTGTGTGATATACGTAAAAATGAATATCATATGATGAGATTGGAAGAGCATGGTGAATGGTGCGGCTTGAAAGAGAATGAAAGGATTTTTTATCGGAAGAGAGCTTTGGCTTTGTTGAACGTTGGATGAGAAACTTAGAGCGTGACCAGGAGAGCTGTAGATCAAGTCGTAGAGAAGACTTCACTGAACAGAAGCCTTTTAGTCTTGTACGTGCTATGAAGTAGGTTGACAGGCAGGTTAACCAACAGTTGACCTCAACCAGCACGAAAACCATGCGCCACGAGCGGAAAAAGCAAGGACGCGGAACGGGTCGACTTGGACTTTAGGAAACTCGCCCGTTACCCATGGGCCATGAGGGTGGCCGTTGCTACGACGATTTGCGACTAAACCATGCTGCAACGACAGGGGTTGTGAATGATCTGAAATCAAGGGTTGGAAAGAAGATATGAGATTCAATTTATTTGATCTTTCTGGATACCCCAAGCGACGAGGTAAGAGGGAAATGAATAAACTTTCAATTTGAACAACAAGGCAAGTCTCAAACTTGAAGAATTCCCATAAGAACTCAATCCCTCACACAACATCCGTATTGATGACATTTACATATTTTCGAAGTAAATTTTTATAAATCAACCACTTTTGATATACAATTTTTCTGAGTCTCAAAGGTACCATTTGTGAATCTAACGATCTATAGAGAACCTAAAAATTTCAGATGTTATAGTTATTTTCTATCATCAAGCAAACTCACTAATTGTTGTTTCATGAGTTTGTTGCGATCTTTACATTAAATATTTTATTTGAAAAAGATGAAAGAGAAAGACTACTCCCTGATAAACGGAACATTAGAGAATTTCTGATATAGCAAAGGTAGGTAAATCTCCTGCCCGCATGTTCAGACAAAATGATAAAAAAGTTTTATCATTTTTTACTATACAAAATGCGATAAGCATAACAAACCGAATTGAGCACTCAATATTGATTACTCAGTCTCACTTCAATCCAAACTTCCAGCAGCAAATGTGATGTCATCAAAATTAATTTAAATTTAATTCTTCACTCAAATCTCAAATACAAAATGATCACCATCAAGATCAATTAAAGCTCTCAGTCAGTCTATTGAAATTAATTAATCTTCACTACACTCATTCATTCATTTCCATTTATTTTTTGTTTTTATACAACCTATTGACTAAAAACTTCTTTATTTGATGAAAAAAAAAGATTACTAACAAATTGAAACATCATCTTACACACACTACCAAAGAACTAATTAACTAACACACACAAACACGCATCTCTTTTTATTTTTTGGTATTTTTTTGGTCTTTTGTCTTACATTTATCAAAAAAAGAAATTCAAATTAAATTACCATATCTCCACGTACTATATTTTCACCTGCACTTTCAAATACAAACCTAAGAAAAGAATAAAAAAGAAATCAATGATCAAAAGAAGACGTGAAAAGATCAAAAACACTATAAAGAAAAAGAAAAAATAAGAAGAGTTGTTTTTCTTTCGGATGACTTACCTACTAGCTATATTCATAGATTGTAATTCTTGAAATAATAATTTAGCAGCATAAGGAATATAAACTTGAGAAACTAAAGAAAAAAAAAAAGAAAAGTTCAGTAAAGATGATCATCTCTTATGTAATTAATGTTATCTTGAAAAAAAGACTCGAATTGTCTTAAGAAAACAAATCACTCAACTCGCTGTTTTATTTCTACAAGCTCTACATTCAAATGATTGTTTTTTCAAATTCGCAATAGCTACCATCCCACATCTATAAGATACCATATCCACCCCAAAAAAACTTGATCAGATTTAATTCAAACCAATTACCAAAAAAGAAAAAACACTTACATATCACAAACGTGCACTCTATAAGCATCGCTCACATCAAACATTCTTTCTTTCAAAAACCCGGCAATTCCATGAGAGATCATACAATCTCTCTAAAAGAAAAGAAAAATCCATCCAAATAAAAAAACCCATCAATCTATGTTTTTTTTTTTCTCAAATGAAGAAATAAAGAAAGAAATCGAATATGAAAAAAATGAAACACAAACAAACCTCCATTTCACCAAATCGAAGTCCACCATCTCTACTTCTACCTTCAACGGGTTGTCTTGTTAAGATTTGTACAGGACCTCTAGCTCTAGAATGAATTTTATCATTCACCATATGTTTCAATCTTTGATAATAAGTAGGACCCAGATAACATTGAGCTCTAAGTTTTCGACCTGTATGACCATTATACATGATTTCTAAACCTCTAGATTGATATCCATTGTCTTTAAGTAAAGATGAGATCGCTTCTACTGTCACTTCACTAAATGGAGTGGCATCACCTTCATTTCCAGTTATAGTTGAAACTTTACTTAATAAACATTCAACTAAATGCCCAATGGTCATTCTAGATGGAATCGCATGAGGATTAATAATAATATCGGGACAAATTCCTTCGGATGTGAATGGCATATCTTCTTGTCTATATAAGATTCCTACTGTACCTTTCTGTCCATGTCTAGATGCAAACTTATCTCCTGTTTCTGGAATTCTTGTAGATCTGATTCTAACTTTGACAAACTTTAATCCATCTTGATTAGTCGTAATTAAGACTTGATCTATGATTCCATTTTCAGTTGATTTCAATGGCATCGAAACATCTCGTTTAGTATGAGTTTTCATTCTTTGTCCTAATTCTTCACTATCAGGTGGAATAGGCGCAGTTTTACCAATTATGATATCATCACCAGAAACTCGAGTGCCAGGTGTGATGATCCCATCGTCATCAAGTTTTTCATATGTACCATGTTTCAATCTTAAAGTATTCTCTCTAGATGGTTTTTCAAATTCTTCCATTTGTAATGCACCTGCTTTCTTTTCTTGATCCATATACGATCTATAATAAAATGATCTAAAAAGTCCTCTGTCGATTGAAGATTGATTCATGATCACTGAATCTTCTTGATTATAACCTGAATAACAAAGAATCGCTACAATCGCATTTTGTCCAGCTGGTAATTCTCGGAATCTTAAATATTCCATCGATCTAGTGGTTGCTAATGGTTTTTGTGGATAATATAATATATTCGCCATCGTATCCATTCTCATTCTGAAATTGGTTAAATAAACACCCATAGCTTGTTTACCCATGGCTGACTGATATGTATTACGAGGCGACTAGCAAAATCAATCAGATCCTCATTAGTAAACATAATCAAGCCTGAGAAAAGATAGAAAAAAACCCTTACCTGGTTATGATCAGGGAAAGGGATAATCGAAGCACAGATTCCTAAAATCATAGCAGGATGAATTTCACAATGAGTCCAAGTATGTGAATACATACTAGTGTTTCCTTTCAATCTAGCAGCAGGATCAAAGACTTCTTTTGGTACTTGACCGGTTTCTTGATATTCTCTAGATTGTTCTAAATCTTCAGGTGTCATACAAATCATCACAGTTTCTTCTTCTTCTGCATCTAAATATTCTACGATTCCTTTGGCTACTAATTGACTCCATCCGAAAGGTTGTCCTTCATCTTCTGGTACGATCCCATTCGGATCTTCAGTCCCTGTTACATACCCATTACTTAACCATTCCACGTGATCTTTTGTTAATAACAATTGTTGATTTTCAACAATAAATAATGGTCTACAAACTCGTCCTCCATCTGTAAACACTCTTAATTCTCTTTCTCGTACATCTCTTACAACTGAAACTTCAGGTTCGATATCACCACATCTTCTTAATCGTTTAATCGTATCCAAAAGCTCGGCTGGTGAACGATGTACACCTTGCCATACTCCATTCACAAAGACTTTGGTCCCGGTTGCCATATCAGCTGAAAATTCATCTAAACTTTCCATCCCCCATTCTTCCAAAAATTCTACAATCGGAGCTGAAGGTGAACCCACTGAAATATACGACATCAATGCTAAATTCTTAACTAAACCACATGCTTGACCTTCAGGTGTTTCTGCTGGACATACCATACCCCAATGTGAATTATGAAGTTGTCTAGGTTTTGCAATCTTTCCATCTCGTCCGATAGGTGTATTACATCTTCTAAGATGTGATAAAGTGGATGCAAAGGTATATCGATTTAATACTTGTGAAACTCCTGCACGTGCTTGCATAGCTTTTTTCTGATCTCCCCAATTACCTGTCGCTAATGAATACTTCAAACCATTGGTGATCGTGTTGGATTTAACAGCAGTGTTCAAATTGAATGGTTTTTGCATCTCGACACACTACGCATCAAATCGAACGAGAGTATGTCAATTTTTTATGGTACGGAGTAATAGATGCAAAAGAAATGCACTAAGAAATGAAACTCGACATACCTTTTGAAGATGTCTATAAACATCCTTTGTTAATTTCCTAAATAACATCCTAAACAATCCAGCCAACAATGGTCCAGCAAGATCCAAACGTTTCTTGCCAAAATGATCTCGATCATCTAAATCTCGTCTTTCTAATGCAGCTAATAATAATCTATGTACCATATAACCAAAGAAATACGCTTTTTTACCTTGTTGTCCTTCAGACATTGAAATATGTGGTAACATTTCCTTTTGTAGAATCTCTTCTGCATATTTCAATCTTTTTTCACGTGATAGACCGGTGGCTGTTCCTCTTCTACCAATAAAATCAAGTGCTACCTAATGATTTGTTTTCGGTCAGATTGAGCTTCTGGTGTAAAAGTTTGGGATAACCTTTTTGAATATTGATCACTCACCTCTTGTTCTTGAATAGGGAAGGAATCTTCCAAACACGGTTTCAACATCTCAAACATATCGATATCATTACGATCATAACATATATGATCAAGGATATCCTTATCAGGAATGATACCCAAGGCTCGGAAGACCACCACGATCGGAATATCGTTACGAATATAAGGTAAAGTAGTTTTGATCGTTGCACCTCCACCCTATCACACGATCCAAAAAAAATCCACGTCTTAGTAAGCTGAATTGAAGAAATATGAATCTGAATGGATACTCACAGCTTTTTCAGCTTTATGACCACCAAACATCTTCACTTGCATCGTACTGACTGTCTTACTACCTTTTTCTACTGCACTTCTAATTTCACTAAGGAACGAAATCGGTGATGGTGCTGCTTTAGCAAATACATAGACATGATTAGCTGCCATACGTTCTTGTGCGATTAGGACTTTTTCAGATCCGTTGATCACAAAGTATCCTCCCTAAAACCCAATGAGAACAAAAAGAATAGGGTAAGCTTAGAAAATGGTACTCATACTCCTAATTGAAGATAGTTGGGTTTTTAGGATCCAACTTACCTGATCAAATGGACATTCATTCAAATCATACAATCCTCGGTCATCAAGTTTATCCAAGATACAAAACTCAGAACGAAGCATGATAGGAACCTAAAAAAATCAAATAAAAAAGAAGAGTTGAATAAACATCTTATAGATCAATCATCATTGTTCTTCAAAATTCAAATTGACCTTTCCAATGTAAATTTGAGATGAATTTTTATCTGGATTATCATCATCATCCGAAATATAAATCGGTTCCCCCGTGACTTCATCAAATTCGCCCGTTGCCACTTTATTCGATTTACTCATATCCACATACAATGGAGCAGAATATCTGTGTATATAAGTATATATGAAAGGATATATATCTTCAACGGTAGCTGGGAACAAAAGGGGGCATAGAAGAGAGCCCAAAGAGGTTTTGGTTTTTAAGGTAGTTTAACCCACGTCAGATTTCGTAGACGAGCTTCGTTTGGAAACATGGGTGAAACTGTTCCATCTGATTCGGTCATGGTAGGACGTGATAAATAAATTTGACCAAAACTAATTTCATATCGTTTCTAAAAAAATGAATCATCAAACCAATCAGTACGAAAAAGTGGTTCAAAAAGTGGATTTGGTAAACTTACAGTTAAATCACCAGCTTTATCAGTATATTGCATTGATTGTTCTAAAATCAATGAACCTGTTTCATCTACTAATTCTTGCATGGTCGTATTAACAAATCCATCAAATGAAGAAATCTGTTGACTAACTAAATTTCGTTCATTAAAAAACGCTGAAATCACTTGCCAACAATCTTCTTGTGTGATTGAATTGGAATTATCTAAATCATAATCTTGGGTGGGTTGATCTGTTTGATCTCTTTGTTGATCTGTTTGACTTTGAGATGGAAAGGTATCGTAATTATATCCTGAATAGACGTCTGTTTTGAATTATTGATTTTAGGATCGAAAAAAGTTAGTCAATCTTGATTCTGATTAGGTTGTTGAGGTTGGGGAATTTGGGCATCGAAAGGAGAAAAAGCATTTCACCTGTCATCGTCTCCTGAATTCGAATGAATGAGACTATTGCTCAAGTTTGGATGATAAGTTGATCGAATTGATAATTTCTTGTCTTGTGATTGTGAAGCTAAAGCTGAGTGTTTTGAGCAGATTGATAAAGGTTTCTTTTTCAAGTGTTCATTCGTTTGATTGGTTTCTTTGATGAACTATTGTGTCTTGTTTTTTTTTTGTTTACTTTCTGGTGGGTTTTGGTTAATCAGTTTTTTAGAATTGGGTATTGGTCAACAGCATCTGACTGACTGACTGACTGACTGACTGAGGGACGCGAAGAAGTACATCCTTGTGACATGCTATCTAGCTTCAGCATTCATTCTGTGACATCTTTAACTCTTCATCTTTCACACCTTTCATTCTGGATCTGTTCTGTTTCCAGAATTCACCGATGAGCCTTTCCTCATCTCTTTGAACTACTTTCCATCAAATCTCATCAAACCACCTCTCTGTCCATCTCAAGATTCAATACATGTCGAGACTTGCTAAATTCACTCTCGTTGGTACAGCTGCTATCACTGGTATGACAGTATGGGGAGTTCATTTCCTACAACTATCAGAACGAGAGGTAAATCGAAATCATTCAATCTCAACAGAAACATCAATAAAGTAACTGATTTGATCAAGTTAAACCCATCAATCTAGGCAATGTATCAAGGAGTATTAAGAGATGATGAAAGAGTAAGAAAACGAAATGAACAAATCTTAAGAGATGCTGAATTCGAAGATCAACAACGTAAACAAGCTTATCTTCAATCCATTCAACCTATCAGTAATCCTACCGGTCCTTTACCTTCTCCTAAAAATGATACATCAAATGAACCTATCAAACTTGATGGTTGTAAAACTTGTTGAAACTTGTCTTTTTTTCGTTATACAAATTCAGATATGGGTTTGATTTTATTCTAGATCTCTTTAATATTAAACAGATTGTACCACCTCTTCTTCAAATCATATACACTACATCTACATTCCATAGATTAAACGGAATAACGAGTATGTACCACGAATCACTCTTGGACATCTTACTAAATTTAAGACGAATGTACAAGACCCATTCTCACTTTATTGAGTACCTATCGCAGCTTACTAACGAACTCAAGGAAGTAAGAATGAAGAAATCCAAGAAAGTCAATGGAATGGATTATCTCTGGCTTATCTGGACATTTGATTGAATCGAATTTATATTCAGATTGGATTTTTACGCAAAGGGTCTACGTACTCTTATGCCTTCAGTGTTGTGAACCGATTATTTGAGTAATCCAACAGGGGTTTTCAAGTTCAGCTCAAAGCTTTGAACGGCTTTCATTCGAGCTGAAGGAAGTTGAATCTGGGACTTTCTTTTGTTGTGGTATGATAATTCTATTGGATTTATCTTGATCTAATTGTCTAGATTATTAGCATCATCATCCCGCATTCCTGATCCCCTTTACTCATATTAAAAATTATCAAGATTTCATCAAATATATCAATTCTTTTGACCTCGCAATCCCACTTCTTACACAATTGTTTTATATTGTTTTTTTCTTTATTTGTGTGGTCTTGTTGAACGTCATCTAATCTTGATGTTTTTGCTCAATCAAATAAAAACAATATATCCACCTACCCAATTTAATTCTCTTTCTTGAGCTTTCAAAACCCAATTTTCCATAACTTGTAGAATGTGAAAGTGAACGAAAAAAGCTTGGTTTTTTCAAAAGGTTTTTCAAAGAGACACAAAATGGACTTGTAGATGATGAAATTGGGCTTGGAGATTATATAGAACCATTATTTATATCCGATATCAGTCGAACGCGCTCTCTCATGCTGGGTAGGATATGTGATTGTTGAAACTAAGCAAAAATGACTTGGAGACATGAAAGTTGCCAATTCTTGCAGTTGATCATGTACTTCAAGTTCTTGGGGCTTGTGTGCATGATTTGATCAGATCTTAAACTGGAATTATGTATGATCTGTTTTGCTTTAGATCAAAAACGAGCACCTCAATTTCTCAAACCACATTCATACAATTTTCTTCTTCTTCCATTCGCCTGATCTAATTGTGCTTGTTCCCCACAAAAAAACAGGTTGGACGAAAATGGTCGGAATGCGACCATTGCGCAAATGTTTTCCACGAAAAGGTCGCGTCACTTGTACCATCCTTCTTTTGTGGTTCATAGTCACGTTACATACTTACTCTTGTGCGTCAGCCCTCCTCCTTCCGCCTCCACCAAAACCCTCAGCCTTGGCACTCTCATATATACTATGAGGGCCTAGCTAGTTAGTATTTTGAAGTGTATCGAGGGGTAAAGCAACGATAGGACATGGCTCGGACTCCAAGTGGGTACTTGTGGCGTTGGTGTGGCATTTTTTCTTTCGTAAAAATCTTTTTGATAGGTTCTTCTGGAGACAATCTATAAAAACCTCAGTCAACTGACCCATCATTTCCTTCCACCCTACAAACCAACTTGTGTCGTTCCTCTCCACATTGACCTACATCATGCTTTTCTTCAAATTAGCCATTGCTGCTATCCTAGCTGGTCAGTCCGCGCATGATCCCTGATATATAATTTACACCTTCCTTTTCACTAACCGCTCTGTCCTCTTCTACAGTCACAATCTCTGCCATCCCCAACCAAAAGGATGTAGCGTGAGTGGTATTTGTGTTTTCATATAATCAGCTCGTGTCCTAATTGGTTATACAATCGATCACAGTGCCACTGATTCGCTCATGCAAAGACGATCTACGACAAACCCAGTATTTGAAAAGAAACCGTAAGTTGAGGCTGAATGATCATACCCCTAATCTAACCCTGAACCTCGATTTGCTCACCGTTGTGAATGTGGTCTTCCTTTCAAAAGGTCTGGCGGAGATAAATGCACGACCTGTGACAGCTCTGAATGCTTGTCCATTTCATCAGGATGTATAGACTTGGGCTGTTGTCATCCCCGAAATGGTGTGCCATGAACTGAATGAACGGAAACCACAATTGCATAGAATCGTATACTTGTGTAAACAGATGGTCTAAGGTTACGCCTACCTTCTGTTGATTTGTTTTTTTGCACTAAGAGCTCTGTGTCTGGTTGAGATCTCGCGCGTCGATTTATTCTTACTTTCAATGTACCTCCAGATACATAGATATGATCCCTTTCAGTTGCTTTCCTGTTCTGGTATCTTCATTCTTGCTTCCTGGACCTTGGTTTTTGTTCCTATGATCTCATGTCCCTGTGGTCATCCTCTGAAACTCAATAGCATCTGCATCCCAGTAAAACTTTGACGATTTATGGCTCTTGATTGATTCGCTCAAAATACAAGTTTAAAATAAAATTCCCATCAAGATTTTCCTCTTGAGAATCTATATCATTCCAAAAATGAGATCATTGTAAACTTGTTCCTGATATCTATGAAAATATTGTGCCCAAGACTGACTCGAGATTCCTCTATTGATGAGTAGATACAAATGTGGTTTGGCTATACCAGGTTTTGATGTTGTTTCTTGTTGTTATGATCTTTCCTTTTTGTCATGTCCATGGAGAAACAGGAGCTTCTGCAAAGGATTATACTTGTATCAAGCCCCAAGCTTTTTCTTGTCAAACATTCTTTTCCCTTTCTGATCTTGTCAAAATGTATGTCAAAGTAAATATGTTTTTCTATTTATAATTGTTTTTAAAAAAATCGTTTTTTTTTGAAAAAACTGTAGCTTTTTAATCACCCACTGAATAGGAAGTATGAAAAGTTGAGCACAATGTGCAGCCAGCTGTCAATTATGCATATTTTCTCTGGTCATAATATGATTAGAGTATCACAAAAAGTGCCAAATTTTTCATTTGACTCTAATCTTTTTAAGAGATAGAGAAAATTCAATCATAGCAAGCAGAAGAAGGATTACATAAAACAAAAAGTGGTGAACATCATACTTTCTTGAATCTCACTTTCTTGATTCACAACAAAACTTTAGTGAGATGAAGAGCACTCCTCTGGCTCTGATACACAGAGGTCCCAGATCTTTCTGAATCCGGGTCATTATCTGTGTTTGTTGAAAAAAAATTGTACCAAAGGAAATATGATTTCAAGATGAATTCATTTTGAAGTACCTAGATTGAAAAGATGGTTTAGATAGAATGTGTCTCCTAATTTTGGATTTCTCATTACTTTAAGGAAATAAATCCAATTTAACTAAGACTATTGAAAATCATCATATGAAACTCTAGTAAATGAATCTTTATCTTTCCTTCAATTATTTTCAACGCATGATCAATTCCAATTTTAATGTATGATTTCAAAGAAGTCAATAAACTAAAAAACACACGAAATTTTCACAACAATTATACTTTTTTTAAAAAAGAAAAGAAACCATCATTTTAAAGAATCTTTAAACTTTAAACTAGATTCAATCTTATCACTTCTTCTTTCCCAAACTTGAATATAACTTTCACCTAGGAAGACCATCTGTCTATTGATCTCTTCTACAATCAAATCTTGAATTTGAAACCATTTCTCTTCATTTGGTTTTAATGAATTTGCCTTTAATTCTTCTTCTTGTTTTTCATTCACACTTCTAGTATGAACTTGTACTTTCCATTGCGAATCTTCTTTAGCTGTTCCGGCTGTTGATGAATAAGTCACATTGGCTAATAAATCATAAAGTCGTTCAATTGGTTCATCTACTTCTTTTTCTTTTTCTTTGGGTTTAGGTTCATAGTATGGACTTAGATCGATACCTTTTGTATGGAAATTGACAATCGTCGGATTCTTTTCTTCAATAAAATTATTCGAAGTAAATCGTTTGAAATGTAAAATCAAAAATGGAGGTAAACCTAAGATCTTAAACCGTTTTAATTTCCCATTGATCTCAATCGTTTTCTTTCCATCATACTTCATCAAAACTTCATTTAATCCGATTTGAGGTATTATATTTTTTTCGATCGTGTCTTGAAATACAGGTGGTGGTGGTAAATCGATTGTTAAAAATAAAAATGGGGTTTGAATCGTTCGAACTTCAGCTCCTAGATCGAAAATCGGTTTTAATCCTTTCTCTCCTGTATCTGGTCTAGCTAAAATATCATGTTCTTCAATCCTAACTTCTCCTCTAAAAGCTGCATCTATAATACTACTTGGTTCATCTTTTTCTTCTTCTACTTTTTTGATCATCTGATCTGATTCTTGAGGATTTCCTTCATTTTTTAATTTCATGTGTTTCTTTTTCATCGGTTTCTTTTGATGTCCACCTAAGTCTAAATGTAACGTATTTAATAACCAACCTAAGAATTCTAATGGATCAGCTTGTTCTGTAAGTTTGAATTTTCGATTAGATCGTTTACTAACTTCTTGTCCAAATTCATGTGGACTAACTTGTGATTTAAATGCTTTTGGATTCCATAATTTTCTCATTAAAGTTCCAAACCTTTTAACTAATTCAGTATCGTTTGAGGTTGGTTTTCTACAGATCAAATAATCTCGTAATGGAGTCACATGTGATAAGATTTGAACAATCACATTTAGATAATCATTGGCTTTGATATTGTTTAATCCTACAAATCCTGGTAAATAACTAATTCCTTGTAAATCATATGCTACAGGATATAATCCTGTATCTAATCGATTTAAAAACTCGGGTGTAAAAGTAGGATTCAATAAGTACTTGATATCATCTAAAGATGGATCTGAAACTTCATATCCATCAGGTAAAACATAAACCTAAACCAATTAAAACTGAATAAGTATAAGATCAAGCTTTTCTAAAAAACATCAGATCAAGCTTACCTTTTCAGATAACAAGTTAATAAACACATGATGATCCGATCCAATACTATGTGCATAAGCAGGACTGATCTTACTACGACCTTGAAAATATTTACCACAAACTAAACAAGCATAGATATTGATGTTTGACAAGGTTACTGAACAAAGTCGTTCGAAATCAAAGTCTAACATATCTCTATTGATCGTATCTAAGTATAAATCTGATTTGGTTCGATTTGAATTGGTTTGAATTGGTTGGTTAGGATCTTCTGGTTCTGCTTCTAGGTCTAGATCTAGGTTCATTTCGTCTTCGTGGGTTTGAGGTCGTGGTGGTGGGTTTTCGTTTGAGAGTCTTGGACGCTTTGTGGGTGGCAAGTCATCTTGTTCATCGTTAGTTGATGGATGTTGGCCATTTTTAGTTGAATGATCTCCAATATTGTTAGTTGAATGATCTCCAATATTGTTAGTTGACGTGTCTTGAACATTGTTATTTGGAGGATCTTGAATATTATTCGTTGTGAGATCTTGAGAGTCCTTGGCTGGTGTTGAATCATCTTGAGTATCCTTATTTGTTGAATCTTGGGTATCCTCATTTGTCAAATTTTGAGTATCATTGTTTGGTACTGGAGATGGTGATTTTGATTTTGATTGATTTGATTGAGATTGACGATCGAATAAACGTTTAATGAGCTCATCTTTCTTTCCAGTAATCGCCAATCCTTCATTTTTAAGTAATTCCTAAAAAGTGAAACATGGATTGATAAGTACAATTGGATTGAACTTGATGGGCTGAGATAGATTTACCTTTAATTGTGGACTTTTGATGTGAGTTTTGTAAAAGATATGAATTCATTAGAGATAGGTTCCCGCTGGTTTATAATTTGAGATAGTTGAGATTGAAGACTTACACTTTTAATTTTTTGAGTTCATCCATATTTGCTTTGAATTGTTTCTTGGAAGACTTGGTGAATCTCGCCTGGTCTTCTCAATACGTGAGTTGATCGAACTATCCGCGGATACTATCTGGCCCCGTGATCGTATGAATCAATACCGCAGACGGGGCTTTGTCCGATTGACAGGTTGAAATTCAAAACACACCACCACTTCAAGAATTCTATCATCAGCATTCTACTCAGCATTCAGCATTCAGCATTTAACATTCAGGATGAACTCAAACAAACGAATCAAATTGGATAACACTCCACAAACCAACATCAAATCAGAAACAAATTCAAATTCAACCACTCATTCTACTTTAAACATCAACACCAACACCAACACAACAGATGAAATAGATCAACTTGAACCGATGCCATTACCAAGACCAGCCGTCTTAGAAGAAGAACAAAACATCATCAGATTTGTAGTGGTGACGAATGATAAATTACCAGATTCATCTATCATCTTAACCGGTTTAAAAGATTTATTTCAAAGACAATTACCTAAGATGCCAAGAGAATATATTTCAAGATTAGTGTTTTCAAGAGATCATTATTCATTAGCGATCGTCAAGAGAGGTTTAGAAGTCGTTGGAGGGATCACCTATAGAGCATTTGAAAGTAGAGGGTTTGCTGAGATTGTGTTTTGTGCGATCACTTCTACTGAACAAGTTAAAGGTTATGGATCTCATTTGATGAATCATTTAAAAGATCATATTAAGAATACTACACTTTGTAAACATTTCTTAACTTATGCTGATAATTATGCGATTGGATATTTTAAAAAACAAGGGTTTTCGAAACATGTGGGAATCGAAAGATCTGTTTGGGCTGGATATATTAAAGATTATGAAGGTGGTACAATTATGCATGTAAGGTTTTTCATATTTCACATATTTGAATTATAGAGTTTTGATGTTTTTTGATTTTGTTGTAATTATAGTGTGCAATTTTACCTAGAATTATATATCTTGAATTACCCACGATTTTAGCAAAACAAAAACAAGTAAGTCGATAGATCAATTTCTTTGAAACTTTCGATCAATTTTCAATTAACTGATCGATTTTATTTTATTTTATTCAAGGCAATTCAAAGTAAAATCAAATTAGTTTCACAATCTCATGTAGTACATAAAGGTTTAGAAGTTTTCAAAACACCAGGGTTTAAACCTATAGACCCAAGTGAAGTACCAGGATTGAAAGAATCAGGTTGGACACCTGAAATGGACAGATTGTACGTTTGAATCTCAATCGCTCTGAAGTTTATAAATTGACCAACCCTAGACCAAAAAAATCGGATTTCGTTTTTTTCTTTTCTTTTCAGAACAAGAAGACCAACCCGACCACCATCTTATAATGCGATGCGACACATCTTAACCGATTTACAAAACTCACATCATGCATGGCCATTTTCAAAACCAGTGAATGCAGAAGAAGTCACAGATTATTATACGGTTATTTTGAAACCAATGGATTTAGAATCTATTGAAATCAAATTAGAATCTAATACTTATTTAAACCTGGATGATTTTTTGAGTGATTTGAATTTGATTTTTGAGAATTGTAGAACTTATAATGCAGAAGGTAGTAATTATGTTAAATTGGCGAATGCGGTGAGTTTCTTTTCTTCATTTTTCATTGAAGAGGGTTCTCTTGGATTGAATTTTTTGACCGATTGATTTTTCCTTTTTTTTGATTTTTTGTAGTTGGAAAAACTTATGAAAGAAAGTGTCAAGAGGTATGCAATTAAACCGGATGAAGAAGATGAATCATAATCAAGCTTCTTTTTTAGATTATAAGTCGATTTTTGATTCTCATCTCTTTCGTTCTTAATTGCGATTGATTTAAAAGTTTTTGGAAATCAAATGCGGAAATTTCTTCTTTTTTGCAGACCGAGTCACAACATATATATGTATATATATACCATTCTTAATTTATAGCAAAAATTCCAAGTATTTAGTACGTTTTTGTAATTTTAGTTTAGCATAACTATCATCAAGTCAGATAGGTTTGGCTTCTCATTGAATTTGTTTGTAAAGATTGTGACTATTACCGCCGTATTCATGGTTGATGAACACTTAAAAAAACTTTTCAAATGTTTTGAAAAAATTATTTGAATAATCACAGCAAAAAACTGTGGTGATTAATGATCTTTGCTGTGATTATCAAAAAGTTTTTCTTTCGAATGTTCATCAATCATGAATACGGCTGTACATGGAAGGAAATGAGAAAATAAAAATTATTGAAGTCTTCATGGTTTGATGAACGATTTAACTTACCTCTCAACTTTGCAAGTGAGCAAATGCCAAAGAAAGGTGACGAGATCTACAATCAATTTCTAAATATTATCTCTTTTGAGCGTCTTTTGAGTTCAATATAGAGAACCAGTACATAGTAGCAGTAGGTCTAAAAATAGTAGAGACAGCTTCCCAAGAAACCGAAAACCAATACTCGTGATGATATTTTGTAAAGGAAACGACTCGGGCCACACTCATCTTTGCTACGGCCACACTTCACATGACTTGGCTACACATACTACATACATGTATTTACTAGCCTTCAAATTCACATTCCAGATCAATGATTCAGGGAGAACCAACACAGCCATTACCACCACCACCATCTCTAAAACATTAATTGGACATACGGTGAACGCTTGACATGATTATTTCATGGAAGCTGAAATGCTTGAATAACAATTACAAACTCTTGAAGAATCTAATCCGGAAGTTCATCAGCGTAATAATGCTGGATTATGCTCACAATCGCCATCGACTTAAATTGCAGGAGTCTGCAAATCGACCCCAAGCTTGATTTTTACTGTTTACCAACTACTTACTCAAGATATGAACTTGTGTTTCACTATGTAAGCTTAACAAAGCCCCTCACAAGCGCGTTCGCCGCGCCCTCAAAGAGGCCTCCGTGAACATGTGCAATTAAAAACAATCATATGATCACTTTGATCCAGTCTAAATCTTTAAAGTCTTCTATTCCTGAGAAATCCTTGGGTGATGTGAAAAACTCAGCAAACTAATTGGTGGTCTTGACTAAGCGTTTGATTCCCTGCCTCACTCCCATACCATCCAACTCAAATTGACTTTCCAATAACCTTCCTCAAGGTCTCTTGTTACCTACTGTCTCGCATCACGGAAACAATTCATTGTAACCAACTCGATATACAATGCATTGAGCGATCATGATCAAACCTGATCAAACATGACTGTTCAACGATTACATTTAAATCATCCCTTTTCCACCTCACTCTTCCCGCTCGTTTCCCAATCCTTTGATTATCAAAGAAAAAAATATGCACAGTTACATGTAGTGTGGTTAATACTAAAATTCTAATACGGAATACTTGTATGTATGTGTAGCCAAGTCACGTGAAGTGTGGCCGTAGCAAAGATGAGTGTGGCCCGAGTCGTTTCCTTTTGTAATCAGTAGAACTCGGAGTGAGAAGCGTCTCACTGCACTTCGGTATAATCTCATTTGTTAACGATCGATTGCAGGGTAGTCGCGTGCGCGTTGTATAAGCTCAACCTCATTGGATCGTGGGTGACAATGTTGGAATTGCAGAAGATGACCACAGGAACATGATATCGTAGGAACAAAAACAAGAGTCGAGGAAGTAAGAATGAAGAAACCAGAACAAGAGTGCAACTGAGATGGATCATATCTAGCTTGTGAAGAATATCAGACTGTAAGAATACGAAAACAACTAGACACAAGGCTCTTAATGCTGAGAGCAAATGAACAGCAGGTAGGTGTAAATTTACTTCATCTCTTTGCGATGGTATTCTGAAATGCGGTTTCCGTTCATTCAGTTCATGGCACACCATGTCTGGGATGACAACAGCCCAAATTTACACATCCTGATGAAACGGACTTGCATTCAGAACTGTCACAGGTCGCGCATTTATCTCCGCCAGACCTGTCAAAAGGAAGACCGCATTCACATCAGTAATCGCAAACTGAGAATAGCATATGTTCCGTTGAGCTTCACTGACGGTTTCTTTTCAAATATCGGGTCTGCCGTAGCTCGTCTTTCACTTCGGGGTCGACAGCATCCGTCAGCTTTGCATTGTGGATTGTCAATGCATTCAGAAGGGTCACAGGCCCCGCATTTGCTATTGTGAGAGCTTCGAAAAGAAAAATCACATTCATAACAGTCAGCAAGTCAAGGTAGGTGGAGGTACAACGAGTTCTAGGATGGTGGATGCTAATAGAGCCTGAACTTACCGGCTCCTTTCGAATAAGTTGCCCGCAGTAGATCGTCTTTGCAATGCTGCATCACTGGCACTGTTATTGATTGTATAGCGCATTAGGACATCATCTAAGTATGTAAGAACACGAAGACTTTACTCACCTCAAGTCCTTTTGAGCGGGGGTGGCAGAGATTGCGACTGTAGAATTGGACCAGGAGGTTAGTATCAAGAAAAAAATAAAGTATATAACAGATGTTATGGGTTAACTGACCAGCTAGGACAGCGGCAATTACTAATTGTGAGAAACGCATGTTAATATTGTTCTGGGTTTTAGAAAGGAGACAATTGGGTTTTTGACGTTGGATTGTTGAAAGCTGATGTTAAAGTTGGATGACAGTGAGCAATAAGGGATAGCTGACTGGGGTTCTTATGAATCTCTTGACTCGAGATGCATATGAAAACATTGTCTCTTCACGAAAGAAGATTAACAAAGACGGGTCCGAAGCATTCTTGCGCCATTAGACACCGCTCCAGAACATTCACGAGACCTCCACGACTGGTTCAGCCGAGACCCTACTGATCATGATGATGTCGACGTGACTATCTGGTTGTAGAACAAGGGTTTGATCTCTTGCAACATCCCAGAATCGAGCATCATATCAAGGGTAAGTTGACTGTAAGGATATGAACGAGCAGTAAATCAGGCTGAATACTGTAGCAATGATCATTGACCCTGCTCTTTCCATTCACTACCACTTTTCTGATTTTTAATAAATGATTTTTATTAAATGGGAGACACCCCTACTCGAAACAAGTATGTGACTCAAAGTGTTCGGTGGTATCCCATTCATTCCGATAGACAAAACCAATGCACCTATTTGGGAGAAAGTATCATAAACAACCATGTTTACTCGACCCCGGGTCGCGCAACCAACTTCCACAGGGACTCTCACTCTATGCACTCATTGCGTCAACCAACAAAATTAAAGTGCCTGTTTAGGAGAAGCAAGCAAGCCTGTAAGAGGTAATTTTGAAAATTACGTTGTATTCTAGACATTTTCCAATCTCTAGAAAAATTGCTTCACAACAAGAGAACATCCCTTGAGAAAAAAACCATGGATCACCAACAAGTGAAATTTGGTACTCTACCCCGAAAGCATCAACACGTACTAAACGGCACCAAATGGCACATCAACAGCTGCATTCTCGCTCATTGACAATCAATTGCAGGTCACTGAGGGGCGCGTTGTCTATATAAGCTCAAGCACATCGCATCACGAGCGACATTCTTGAAATCACAGAAGATGACCACAGGGACATGTGATCATAGGAACATAAACTGGAGGCAAGGAAGCACGAAAGGAGAGATCGAAACAACCGTGCAACTGAAAGTGATCATATCTAGGCCGGGAGGAACACCAGACTGTAACAATCTGAGTACGGAAACAAGAGTAAAGAAACAGATGCGCGCAGCGCGAGACGTAGAACTCATAGTGCAGAAAACAAATGAAGAAAATGTTACCCACTCGAGTTCCACCACCTTGAGAGCTATCCCCACACCACAAAAGGGTTTCCTGGTCTCATGGATAACTTGAAGAGACCAGGAATTCTTACAGGGTAGGATTTGAGGGATAAACAGCGGAAGCAAATTCCGTCCCTTTTACCTAACTTACTCCCTTCCCGAAATACGAATGGATTACATATCCTTCTTGCTTCGGTCAATGTATCAAATAATGTACGTGATCTTCTGTGACATTAGATTAGCACAAGCCTTGGGGTATAATGTACCACCTTTTGATGTTATTAAGGATGCTGGATAAGTTTGTTTTGTTACTTTAAGTTTGAGATGTGGTGTTTTGAATCACTCTCAGATCATGTTTTGGGTCAATCCTCTTATATTTGTTGATGTCAGACTTGAAGTTGATGATCAATTGCATTGATGAGTATGATTTGGTCTTTTGGAGAAGAGGTTTACATAGTTGGTTTCTTGGATTGAGGATGAATTGTGAAGTGAATGTGTTCAGTTTGTTGATGAAGTCTTGCTGAGTTCAACTTCAGAATTAAAATTGATCAAAGCTCTATCTTTTTTCAACTCGATCAACCGTTTCACCTTCAACACTACTCTCAAACTGCGTTCATCATCTCACTCTCAACTCGCATTTCCAGCATGGCTCAAGGAAGTCTTCGAAATACAGCCTTTGGAAAAGCATTGCTGCACTCCAATACATTCTCACTTTGGATGATTGATTGCAGGTTACTGGGTTGCGAGTAGTCTTTCGAGCTCATTGACTGGCGCGCGACATTCTTAAAGTTTCAGAACATGACCACAGGAACCGGACACGAGATCATAGGAACAAAAACAAGAGTCAAGGAAAGCAAGAATGAAGATCAGAACAGAAAGGCAACTGAAAGCGATCATATCTAGCTTGTCAGGAACATCAGACTGTAAGAATGCGGAAACAAGGGTCAAGAAATAGGAAGAAATAGATGCAACGAGGTCGAGACTAGACAAAAAGCTTCTAGGACAGGGAAACAATGAATCGAAGGTCACTGTAAGGAGTACACATATGTACAGCCAGTATGGCTATGGAAGCATGGGGTTATGCGGGTCTCACTATATCTTCTTGTCATTGCCCGGCTTCGGAAAGTCTTCACTCCTCAGAGCATCTCCAATCGTTTGGGTTAAATCTTGGGTTAGCGGGGCTAGAGTTACAGATCTTTAGCCGGGGTCAGCTAAACTAACCCAAATTCCCGCAATCGTTGTCTGTAAAGCTAGGATTAACCCTAGCTAATCCAGACTTAAAGACTGGGTGCACAACCGTTTGCTTTTAAATTTGGTGCGAACTTCACCTTTTCAAAGTCTGTATATCTTATTGCAACATGGACGCGAGTGCCATTTTAGAACAGCACGTGAAATTAATCAATGAAGAACTGAATCACGAGTACGATGAGCTGATCATGGCACTGATAAAGGAGTCATCAACAACCCAACAAAAGAACACACGTGAAACTATTCAACACGACCGGATTGCTGCTGACCAACAACTTCAACGCGACTACTTTCAAGACTCACCATTGTATCCTCAACATCTATTTGAAAGGAGATTCCGAATGAGTCCAGAACTTTTTGGACGACTGGCTGCCGACCTGCAGGGACACAACAAATACTGGATACAACGTCGCGTAAGTTTTTCCAAAACTATCATTAATGTTGGATTCAACAGTTGAACATCTATGCCATATAGGATTGCTGTCTGAAACTAGGACACTCAACAACCCAGAAGATGACCGCTGCGCTGAGACAACTGGCTTATGGAATGGCTGCCGATGGGTTAGATGATTACTTGAAAATTGGTGAAAGTACTGCAATAGAATCTTTGAAACATTTTGTACGCGATATAATCGACCTCTATTCAGCGGAATACCTAAGACCCCCAAACTCTGAAGAGCTTGAGAACATACTAAAAGAAAACAAGATGAGAGGCTTCCCCGGATGTAAAGGGAGTATAGATGGCATGCATTGGCTATGGAAGAACTGCCCTCAAGCATGGGCTGGTCAGTACGAGGGGAAAGAGAAGGGGACCTCAGTAATACTGGAGGCAGTTGCTTCAAAGAATCTATGTATCTGGCATGCCTTCTTTGGAACGCCAGGAGCCCTCAATGATATCAATGTTTTACATAACAGCCCACTGTTTGATTCCTTTATTAATGGTAAGATTTTTGGCTGTTATATCAGGTAGCAAGTATCTGACCTTTTCTACTCTCTTGAACTCGTATGGAGTAGGTTCTGAAGACAGAGTCCACTTTGAGGTGAATGGCAATCAATACACTCGTGGATATTATCTGGCAGATGGGATCTATCCTGCTTGGCCAGTCCTCATCAAGTCGATACAACGACCTTTAGACAAAGCAAGTAAGTATTTTTCAGAGTGCCAGGAAGCACTAAGAAAAGACATTGAGCGTGCTTTTGGGGTGCTTCAAGCGCGCTGGCATATCCTGAGTCAACCATGTCGTCTTTGGAGTCTGAAGGAAATGACCAAAGTGATTTTATGTTGCATCATCCTTCATAACATGGTGGTGGAAGACCGTGGCGAGTTGGATCAAGTCACCATTGACTATCGCACAAAACATGGGCTTGAGATACATCCCAATTGTCTTGATCCTCAAATCTCATACACTCTTGCTGAATATTACAACACAACATCAGAGCTACGAAGTCGCGATCAACACCTACGTCTGATGGAAGATCTCAAAATTTCAATGTGGATTAAGAGGGGGACTGGAGGGAATTAGACAAGAAATTCACGTTATGTTTCGATCTCAATCGATTCTGTTATGTTTCTTTTTCTATTTCATTTCATAAAATATAATCTCATCAATTGACCCAATGTCTCTGGTATGCAAATTTGTTATGGCAAGACACTTGAGAATTTCTTTTATTTCAGTGACCACAATAAACAAACAAAGATCAGTCAAATCTAGTGTAGAACATAGATAAGGTGAATTAGATCAACATGAATAGAATGAAATAAATTCCCAAGTCTAAGAGAAAAGATAGTTCCATGTTCTAATCCTCAGCCTGAACCTCTTCGTCATTTGAATACTTCTTCATCAATCTCGCTTTCAGCATCTTTAACACAGCTCTTGACTCTTCATCTGGACATGAATCAGGGGAAGTCGTTAATACCTTCATATCTTCATAATAAGCGTGGCTCTTCTTAGCTTCAGCATCGATCTCAAGAGCACGATCCGCAATCTTTTGACCATGTTCTAACATCTTAAGCTTTTGTTCCTGGATGTCGGAAGCCCGCTTGGGTTCTTCAGTCCGTTCGACATCTAACTCAGCCTCCTTGCGTCGTCTTTTCGCTTTTTTTTGGCCGACAGGACGTTCAAGAGGGTTGGAAGAAGGGGGTGGTGGTGTTGAACCGGTATGGATGATCGGATGGTGGACACCTGAGGCTGAAGTTCCAACTGAAGCTTTCTTGACTGGATTGGCAACTTGGGCCCATTTAGGAACATAACGCAAGATCTCCCACACCGCCTCATCCTTGAATACCTCGCTGGTTTGATTTTGATAGGTCTTCTTTGCTATGCGCATGTAATCACTGGGGGCGGTTCCACTAGGAGGGTTTCGTTCAATCGACCCGTATATACCCGAGAATTTGATTGTAGAGGTGTTCAGAGTTTTCCAACTAAGCCGAGAGAATACTGAATCAGCAGATGGTCAGGAAGTCAAAACAAATACAGATTCACTCACCGGTTCGGAATCTGTTGACCCGTGCGATGGACCGTGGATGCATTGTTATAATGCTCAGTCACCTTGCGATAAAACTCGGCACCAGATTGATTGTTTGAAGTTTCGGCGTTCTCGCTGATTGCGAGCCACGAAAAGGCCAACTGTTTGTCTTCAAGTGTTGTCCAGTTGGGCGCTCGAGATTTCTTCTGAGGTGCATCATCGAGTGGTATCTCAGCCATCCAAAGCAAGTTAAAAACTAAAGTGTTGTGGAGAGTGAGGGTTGAGAGGAGTCGAGTAGAATTTTATGTTGGAGTGGAGGTGTCACAGTTGAGGATGTGTATACGGTGAGCGGGGTGGATGAGGATTGAGCTGAATGGGAGATGTGGGCCTAGCTGGATTGAGGGGCGAGGTGAGGTGTGAGTTGAGTTAAGTAACACTGGGGTTAGCTGGTGTTAAATTTAACCCGGCTAGAAGATTTTTTAAAGAAAAGTTTACTAACCCTTGCCTAAAGATTCACCGCTGTGAATTTTTGAAAAAGATTAGTTAAATATTTAACTAATCCTGTGACTTAACCCGACGATTGGAGATGCTCTCAGAGAGCTAACCTTGGACTTTCTGGAGCTAGGTACGTTATGACCCTTTTTCATTATTTCATATAGTTGTTTTCTTGGTATCTGTTCGAGGACTCCTCAGAGAGCTAACCTTGGACTTTCTGGAGCTAGTTTCGTAATCAAAACATAACGAAGTTCTTAGTTAGTGCTCTCTCGAGAAGTCAAGCCGGAAACTTATCCGGACCCCCAGTGAAGGTTCTCACGAACCTTACACTTTTTTTAACTAATCACTTCGAAAAAGTTAAAACCACAATTTTTTTTCATACTATCTCACAACCTTCGGTCAATCCTATCCTCCAGGATAACCTGTCAATCTGTCCTTTTTTTTCTCTTCGTCTGTCAACCTTAATCGTCTCTGGAATCTCAACGTTCTGTTCAAACGAATTCTGTCATACGTAGCTCATCGTCGATACCGGTTCTATCGCGAGCATCCCTGATCACACCTGCCAATCGAATGTCACAGAAACCTGAGAACTATCTCGACGACCCGGACATCCTACTGCGAAAAGCACGAAAAGAGAAAACCAAAGAGGTCACTACGACAAAACTCGAAAGCCCACCAGCCGGTAGACCTCCCAATTTTTCTTGGAGACCAGAGGCATCGCCAGCGGCGTTGGCCGATCGTGTAGTTTACGCTTCATCTTTCCAGCAAGACAAGTCATCCTCTTCTCAGAAATTACAGTTCTCACCAATAGAAATATCACCATCGGCACCCGAAAGAACTGTCATTGACCTTCATTTCAAGAAGTTGTACGGTAATACGGACACGCCACACCCACCAGGCTACCTACCGGATAATACCCCGCTCGGGAAACATCTCACTGGTGTAACGTCAGCCTTGACGAGTACGACTGAGCCCACCAACACGATGTCAAGGGAAGAGGACGGCGAAACTATCAGGTACTTACGAACGCAAGTTGAAGCTTTGGAACCACAAACGGCTGAACTCGACCAGTCCAGGCAAGAGACAGCTGACTTGCAAAGAATGGTACGAGAATTGTTAGCCAAACGGAGTCGTCCTGGGTCTATTGAGAACGATGCGGGAGAGGCCGATCGCACCCGCGAGATCAGTCAAGCTGAAGGCTCGAATACCTTTAACCAATATGTGAACACCACTCCTACATCACCATCGCCACTACCGCGGGACTCACGACCTGTCCACCATAACAAGGGGAAGCAAGAACCGAAAATTGCAAACAACCATGACAATCAGCGCGATAACAATCTTGCGACTCACCGACACGTAAGCTGGGCTGAGGAAATCGCTCCTCAGACGACAACCTCAGGATTACCACCACGACAATCGACTCCTGCCGTTTCTGTTACCACACCGGCTCAACCATCGCCTGTGGAAACCCTGTATTCTCCGAGTCAACCGTACCTTCGACCTCCAGTCACCACTAGACAACCATATCAGCCGGTGACTCAACACACTGCAAGCAACAAACTCATTGCGTCAACCACAGCGGATCGAGTAAAGCTAAGTGACTTGCCGAAATTCACTGGAAAATTCGGGAAGCCCGCCAACCTATTTCACTGGCAAAGTCTTATCGAGGAGACGTTCGAAATCAAGAACGTCGTGGAAGATCGAGAGAAATTGAAACTCTTAGGCTCCTTGTTGAACAACGAAGAATTATCAGCGTGGTATCAGTCGAACAAAGAAGAAATCAAGAAGCAGTCGTGGGAAGGTGCGATGCAGGCAATGGCGATGGGAACCTTACCATACGCCTGGCTGACCAATACCAAAGACTCACTTCGCCGTCTGGAAATGAAACCTAGCGAGACCTTTGACAACTACGTGATTCGTGCTCAAGCTTTACACCGCCTAGTCAAACGATTTGGTCAAGTTGACGATGTGAATCTGGCTCAGTACATTACCTGGGGAGCGCCTCAGCTCTTCAGAGACCTTATCGCCAAAGAGGGACACTTACTTCAACGGCCATTCTCCTTCCCGGTCTTTAAAAATGCTGCCGACGCCATCTGGCGTTTCCTAGTCAACAGTCGCTTGATACCGGACCCTTCTGTCAAGTCAAGATCGAATCAATCTATGACGAATGCGAGTTTCACAGCAACAAGCACCGGTCGAGTAGCGCCTCAGCCAAGACAACGTTCGGATGAGGAGCGTGCTGATATCTCATGGCGTTATTATGAATACCAACGAAGGACGGGCATCTGCGCCACGTGCAAGGAAAAGTGTAACAACCCGTCTTGTAACAAGAAGAACACGAGATTTTTATCTGTTCCTGCCGACTTCAACCCCGGTCCACGACCTCGACGTACGCCACCTGTCACTAATGCAACCGCAGCACCAGGAGCGCCCACTCAACGACCAGCGGGTCGTCCGCCTCCAGCCACTACACCGTATCGAGTTGCCGCGGTGGAAGAATTTCCGGACCTCCTGGCAGAAGACATCGCCGCATATGAAGAAGCAGACAATGTCTTGCAAAGAAGCATTGAAGCAGAAGTCGGGATGGCAGCAGGGTGCGTAGCAAAACCTCCTGAATCCCCAATCATATTAGAACTAATATGTAATGGCAAACCTCTTCGCGCCTTGATCGACTCAGGAGCCGGGACGAATCTACTGTCAGAGAAGGTGGCAAGTAGTTTACGCATTCCTCGTCGCCCATTGGTCTCACCGGTTGAGGTACGCCTTGCCGTCGCTACCGAGGGCAAGCCTGTGGTGCTAACCGAGTTTGTATTCGCTAACCTGAAAAGCGACGAACCAAGTATACAATTCGGCGCGGTATTCTTCAAGTTGGCACCGTTAGGATCAACGTATGATATGATACTGGGCTCACCCTTCTTGTCTAAATTCAAATTGGATATATCGGTACATCGACGTTGTGTTGTTCACACCTCAAGTGGAAAAGTTTTGTATGAGAAAGGGATGCAATCTGAATTTTGAAGGCTATTATGCGCAATTGAAAACATAGACAAATTGAGTGACGTGCAGCAATTGAGTGAGAGAGAAGACAAGGTACTGAAAGAGTTTGAAGACCTATTCCCACCTGAGTTGCCCCCTGTTGAAGAAGGGGAAGAGGCACCGCCAGAGGTTTTTCCTGACGGAATGCCTGATCCTTTCCGACAGGTAAGACATAAAATTATTCTTACTGATCCCAATGTAGTGATTAACGAGAAACAGTATGGATACCCTCAACGACATTGAGACGCGTGGCGTAAGTTAATTGATCAACATGTGAAGGCAGGACGACTGCGAAGATCTCACAGTCAATACGGGTCCCCTTCCATGATAATACCAAAGAAGGATCCGGCTGAATTACCACGATGGGTGTGCGACTACCGGACGTTAAAAAAATTCACAGTGAAGGATTGAGCACCTCTACCTAATGTCGACGAAGCGGTACGGCTCGTGGCAACGGGGAAAGTCTGGTCAATTATTGATCAAACAAATTCTTTTTTTCAAGACCGTATGCGAGAAGAAGACATACCTTTAACGGCGGTGAAGACACTGTGGGGACTATACGAGTGGACGGTGATGCCGATGGGGTTGACAAACGGACCAGCTACTCATCAGGCACGTAATGAAGAAATTTTGGGAGATCTAGTAGGGAAAATCTGTGTAGTTTATATTGACTACATTGTCATTTTTTTACAAACACTTGAGGAGCACGAAGCTCATCTGCGACTAGTCCTAGAGCGTTTGCGACAAGCCAAGTTATACTGTTCAATCAAGAAGAGTAAACTATTTCGACGAAAAATCAAATTCTTGGGACACAAAATCAGTCAAGCAGGAGTCTGCCCGGACAATGAGAAGGTGGAAAAAGTATCCAAATGGGCATCACCTTCGAGCTCAAAACAACTCCTCAAGTTCTTGGGGACTGTCCAATGGATGAAGAAATTCATCGATGGATTATCTCACTACGTAGGCACCCTGTCAGCCCTGAGTACTAAACCAGCGTACCAATGGGCAACAAATATATTAAAAAACCTTAAAAACAGCAACTACAACTCAAGGCTCAGTTTCAAGAGTTAAGTTACATATGAATTGGCATATGTAACATGTGCAAAACTCACATCAAAGAGTGTGTACGTACACAACTTTCATGTGAACCAAAGCTACATATATTTCACAGACGTAACACATATGTAACAAGTGAAATATACTTATAACCCAATAATAACCGTGTTACTGTAATTAACCTAACCTTAGAACCACAATTTGTGCGCACTTGTAGTCCAAGGATACTCAAGGTTCAGACTATATAAACCCTGGAGATCCCACCAGTTTTGAAGCATCACATTATCATTCAACAACCATTACAAATTGCTCACTTCATCTTCCTAGAACTTTTAAAACTTTGTTTAACATCTACAAACTTTAAAAGCTTGATTCTACGAACCTTGAAACCTCAACCTTGTGTCTTGTTGACTATATTGTGTGCGCATCAACCCTTGTTTCTGTCTGATTAGATTCCTTAATCAGTAGTTTTCGTAATATCCATACGGTGGAATTACGTATAAGGAAGTAGTCCTTGAGTGCTGCTTATATCAGATTTGGGATTCATCTGATATAAGAAACTCTTAATCTACGGGGAAATCTCTATTAGTCAGAGTGTAAAGTTCCCGGTGTTATAAAAGATTTTAACACCACCTTCTTTGACCTTTCTTTGAATAAGAAGAGGATCAAATTAGGATTGAGAACTGCGCGTCAGTTGCTCTTATTTTTAATTATTGCAAGGACAATAATTAACTCAAAATCCCTGGGCAAAATCCTTTGTTTAAAGGTCAACTAACTGGAGTCTTTACTTGTTTATTCCAAGTAAAGCTCCTACGCCCACGTCTTTACCCGCTCAAACTCGTGGATACTAATCCCCACGAGTCTAGTAGAAGTTTGTTTAAACTTCTATCCTCTTTTTATTGAATCTACTAGCCCAACAGACGCTAGTAGGCTCACACACCCTAACGCCATTGACAAGCACGAATCTCAAAGGTAAACCCTTCTGTTGGGGAAAAGCTGAAGAAGATGCTTTTAACAATATCAAGCGTCTTATCACTACACTGCCGGTTTTACGAAACCTGGATTACGAGTCCGGGGAACCAATCTGGCTGTTCACAGACGCCAGCGGGAGTGGACTAGGTGCAGCGCTATTCCAAGGTGACAAGTGGGACACTTCGTCTCCGGTAGCTTACGAGAGTCGAACAATGAACGCAGCTGAAAAGAATTACCCTGTTCACGAGCAGGAATTATTAGCCGTGATCAACGCATTGAATAAATGGCGCCTCCTGTTACTCGGCATGAAGGTCAACGTGATGTCGGACCATCACTCTCTCACGACACTCCTAACTCAGCGCAACTTAAGTCGACGCCAGGCCAGATGGCTAGAGACTTTGTCGCAATTCGACCTGGACTTTCGTTACCTGAAAGGCCAGGACAACTCAGTCGCCGACGCACTGTCGAGGAAAGAGGACCTAGCGCCTTGCGAAATCAAATCACAATTGAGCAGAGATGAACTGCAAACAATTCGAGACGGGTACGATCAAGATCTATTCTGTACAAAGCTCGAAAAGGTGCTACCCTTGCGCGAGGATTGTGTCATCAAAGACCAGCTGCTTTACTTAGATGGACGACTAGTTGTCCCCCGATTCAAAGGTCTACAGGAGAAGTTCATCAAACAAACTCACAATGCACTGGGTCATTTAGGACCCCTGAAGACGTTGGCTCAATTACGGTAAACTTTTTTCTGGCCCAGTATGACGAAGGACGTCGAAAGTCAGCTTAAGTCGTGCGACTCATGCCAACGTAATAAAGCGCGGACTACGACGATCTCAGGGAAACTTCAAGCCAATCCTATTCCACAAAGGCCAATGGAATCAATAGCGATTGACTTCATTGGGCCGTTCCCTAAAGTCTCTGGGTACGACATGATCCTTTCATGTACGTGTCGACTTACCGGCTTCGTACGACTCATCCCGACCTCCCAACGAGACACAGCGGAGAGATCAGCGACGCGTCTGTTCAACGCATGGTCATCTATCTTTGGCCTACCTGAATCTATCATTGGTGATAGAGACAAGGCATGGACATCTCGGTTTTGGCGACGACTACATGAGCTGCTAGGTGTACAAGTCAATCTTTCGACCTCTTACCATCCACAGGCGGATGGGCGTAGCGAAAGGTCAAACAAGACTATAGGACAAATCCTACGACACTTAGCGGCTAATAAACATGGCAAGTGGTTGGAATCGTTGCCCAGTGCCGAGTTCGCCATTAATTCGGCGATCAACGTCGCCACAGGCGTGTCACCCTTCCTTTTCGTTTACGGCCGTATGCCACGACTATTCCCAATAGACAAACCACTCGACAACGAAGATCACGATGTGAAGTCTTGGATCCAACGACGTCAATCGGATTGGGCTGCCTGGCGAGATCAACTCTGGAGCAGTCGAGTGAACCAAGCCGTGC